AGCTGTAGAAATATTAATCGCATCCTTATAGTTGATGCAGTTATTGTGTAACCCTGCTTTATATATTTCCAGAGTTTCTAGTGTTCGTATGTGTTCCCTTTGGTGTGATAGTTTAATGATTTGCGCGTTATGCAAGTCAGCTTTTATGCCCAGGGTTGAAGCATAAGTAGATAGGGCAATGGTGCATCTGTTATGATCAATGTCATATTTGTGTTCACGTAAACGCTTATCTAGAGAATGTATCGTGGAGCCAATATACACAAGATCCCTTTGAAATCTATGGTCCCTCAATGGGACAGAATATAGCCTTGGAGCAAATCTTTTGTCTATGTTGTCTTTGCAGTTGCACAGGATGTCTTAAAAGTACTATGCCTCTTACATGCAATTCTCTTGTTTGTACATGCAGCAATTTCTCTGTAAATTGAGTCAAGGTAGTGGTTATATTCAACACACCACAGCCAAAGACTGAGAATTATTGGAGTTGTTAGTGCATGAGTTATCATTGTCATTATTATATACTTGCGATGAATAGGCAAACACAAGGTTATGAATTAATCTTCGCCCATACCTGTGCCATGTGGCTATGTTCTGGATGCATTGTAATTCTGCCAATATATCAACAAATTTTGAGTGGTGTGTGAACGCTCTAGTGGTTAGGGCCCGGAATGCCACTACCTTGTATGAAAAGGGGTCATCAGAATTGGCAGGGATGAATAGAGGCATGCAGCATGGCTTGTAATGAACCTTGGTTGATATTCTGTTGCTATCTAATTGCATATTATATTGATATCAAGGAAGGTTGCATTTGAATTGCTTATTTGGTCCAATTTGATGCAGAGGCCATATGGGTTATTATTCATTGCATCAATAAAGTTATTTATAATCAGGCTTAGCATTCCACATAATAAAGATGTCATCAACATACCTTTTATAAATATGTTAGAAATAAACATAGGTATAATTCTTTGTTCTAGTTGTCTAATGACTAACTCACACAAATCTCCTGAACGTGGGCTGCCCATAGGGAACCGTGCTTCTGGAGGTAAGTTTTGTTGTTGAACCTAAAAAATGAAGTGTAGCATAACAGGTGGGTAAGTTCCAATAATTGTTTACAGTGTGCACCATGCGAAGTTAGCAAGAGGTCCTCAATTGTGCAAAATGCATGGCTGGATTTTTATAAAACAATATAATGAAATGAAATCAAGCCCAGTGATGTACAGTACATTTGATCAGTAATGCTAAGCAGTCTCAAAGCCTCCAATAACTCTACCAATTTCCTGATTATCCATGGATAATTGTTCAAGCTACTGTATGAGCTATATGCTTGTGTATAGCTGTGTCTAATGATCTAGTGGGGGATCGTGCCTTGTCAAGGATTGGTCTCAATGAAGGTGTATCCTTGTGTGTTTTGGCAAATACAAACAATCTGGGAGCCTGTTTGATGACTTCACTATGTCTGTAATCTCTCGAGTTGTGTAATGAGGGTTTTCATCCAATAATGCTTTGATCTGGTCCTCTTCAATTACTGAAGGTCTTCCTGAGCAGGGAGCATCTTCAAGACTGAATTTACCTGCTTTAAATTTAGCAAACCACTTTTGAACAGTTGATGCTGCTACAGCACTCCCACCATAAACATAACATATTTCTTTTGCTGTTTGTACAGCATTTTTGCTTTTGCAATAAAAAGAAAAAAGGAAACAAGTGTCGAAAATTCATGTTGTTCGCATTGATTTTCACAATAAGGCAAATTAAGTGATATTTAAATAACCTTAACGATTTTTTTGTAATAAATGCGTCTCAAGGTCATTTATTGTAACATTCATTGGTTTGTACAATTCTAATCATTTTCATGTTAATCAGTGTGTCAACTGTCAGCTATCAAAAATTGCTACAAACTTATCTGAACAGTCCAATATTTTATTACACTTAAAGAGAACTGCATCTATATTCTATTTTTAAATTCATCTAATGTTTTAATCCTCACTCTTTTTAATACTAAATTCTATTACAACTGGATATTTCTTTATCAAAATGTCTGTTGTGTTTTTGTTTAAGATTTTTAATTTGTGTGATAATGCTTCCAAAAATAAATTATAATTCTAAAAATGTTTATATGATAAAACAGAACTTTTTATCTTAATTTTAATATTAATAATATAAGAGAAAAGATAAAAACTCAAGATTAAATTTAAAGATTTTTTAAATTTAGTTCTTTCCATCTTTATGCCTTCTTTAGTAAGAAGGCATAAAGATGGAAAGAAAAACAATAAGATGAATTCTGTCAATTACTTTTCCTAAAGAATACAGTGGTACCTCAGGATACGAATGCCCCAGCATACGAAATTTTCAGGATACGACATGAAATTCGAACATATTTTTGCTCCACGATATGAACAAAAACTCACCATACGACATTACATTAGTTTGCAGTGCCATTTTTTATTCACTTCTGTTCATTGGTCTCGGTCTGCGTGTTTGCTTCATTGTGGAAGGATCTCGCTTGATAAAGGAAATCTTGAGGTATTATCAGAAAGTGACTGATTTTATTGAAAAGAAACATCCCGAAAAGGTTCACACTGGCTGTATTGCTGCTCGAAGTAATGACATTTGCCTAAGTTATTTTAGAAACATTTTAAAAAGTAGGCAAAGCCAAACCTCTTTGGATAGATATTTTACCAAGCAACCTCTATCCAGTGAAAGTGCTGGTGGAAGTGAAGGAAAGAAAGCAAAAAGCAGTGAATAAAAATTAAAAAATATATATATAAAACAACACTAATTTTTTTAATCTTTTCTAAGTTATTTTTAAGTTATTGTTACATTATGTTAGGTAAGTCAAGTTTTAGTATCATTTCCCTTCTCCCTCTCTTCCGCCACCAGTTTACACCTCCACCGTCGTCTATCCTCAAAGGTAAAGTGCAAATAAAACGACATTTTTTAAATCAATTATTATTCTATTATGGTTATTTATAGATTTACGACTACATAATGCATTTTTCAGTGTTTTCCTTACTAAAATTATTTTTTTTTAACATACTACTTAGCTTTAATTTGAGTGTGTTTTTCGTGTTGGAACGAATTATTTGGTTTTACATGTAATCGTATGGGGAAAAAACGATTCACCTTACGACATTTTCATGATACGATCTCAGTTTCGGAACGGATTAATTTTGTATCCTGAGGTACAGTACCACTGTATTTTAAAATTTATATGTACTAATATTACAATCAAGTAAACTCAAAAAAACACAACACCTTAATTTGCTGAGAAAAAAAGCTTAGCCTGATGATGGCCAATAGAGTTGGCTGAAAACGTTAGCTTTTCATTAAAAGTTTTCTCAGCAAATTAAGGTGTTGTGTTTTTTTGAGTTTACAAGCAAGTGCTGAGTGAGTGTAATATAATTACAATCAAGTACAACCCTTTTGTATAAATTAAGACACTGAATTGGGTTACTATTTCAGTGTCTTATTTATAATGGTTTGTAATGCCTACCTCTACGCCACATTACTTAATGTTTAATTACTAAGCTGATCCAGAAAGTAAGTACTGTTTGCGCATATCTCCTATGCATCTGACAGCACAAAAGTTGCACATGTGTAGTTACATCCTTCAACTCCAGAATGAATTATCATAGCCATTTTGTTTTAATTACGTTAATGTTTGAAGTCATTGTTTGTTGGTAATCATCTTTAAAACAATCGATTGGCCTGCCAGCTGTGAAATAAGAGTTTTTGAATGTGAGAAATGTTTGACCTTGTGAAATTTATCGTCAGATAAGTGAAAGTTATGGAAGGAATGTGATGAGTGAAGCTATTGTGAGAAAGTGGGTTAGGATGTTTAACAAAAACAGGGAAAATGTCCACGACGAGGAGCACAGTAGACGGCCATCGTTGATCACCAAAGAATTGGTGCTCTGCATCAACGAACAAGTTTGTTCCAATAGGTGATTCATGATTTCTGATTTGTCAATGCTTTTTCAAAACATTTCATGATCTTTATTACACAAATTTGTGACTGAACATTGAACTACAAAAAATTGTGTGCACGATGGGTACCAAAAACACTAACAGATGTTCAAAAACGGAAATGCATTGGAGCAGCCTTGGAGTTTTTGCAGTGTTATGCAACAGAAGGAAATGATTTTTTGAACAAGGATTGTCACAGACAATGAAACATGAATTTGTTATGAGACACCAGAAACAAAACAACAGTCACTGGAATGGCAGCATACTGGTTCTACAAAATCAAAGAAAGCAATGCCACCTCTTTCTTCAAGAAAAATCATGTGCACTGTGTTTTAGGACTATCAAAGAATTTGTTAGTGGACTGGATGGAATGAGGCACAACAATCAATGCTACAGCTTACTGTGAGACATTGAAGAAGTTATGGCACGTGATATAGAACAAAAGGCATGGATTACTGACTTCTGGCATTGCGTTTGTGCATGACAACGCATGAATGCATACTGCAAGCATAATGATGATGCGGCTTGATTCATTTAGCCGAGAACAATTCTGTCACCCTCCTTATAGTCCGGACCTAGCTCCATCTGACTTCCATTTGTTTCTCATCTCAAAAAATTTCTTGCCGGCCAACACTTTGCAAGTGATGATGAGATCAATAGTAAACATCCAGAACTGATTCAGGTCACAGGCGGCTGAATTCTACGAAGCAGGTATGTTGCAATTAGTGCCAAAATATAACGCATGCCTTAATTAATTCACATGGTGAATATGTCGAAAAGTAGTTTAAGATATGTAGATTTTTCTGTAATAAAATACAAATGAAAAGAAATTGCAAATTATTTTTAATACCCAAATGGTACTTACATTCTGGATGAGTTTAGTATAATATTAACAGTAGCATTAACACAGCCCAATATAATTTGGCAATCATTTGGCTTTAAACTAATAATCACGTTCTTAAATATTTATTTGTTTGTAAATCTATTTTTAAATAACAGAAATAGATAACTGAAATTTTTATAGATTATTTTCTTACCATTTTCTGCTGGTAGTAAATTATTGGAAACTTGATGATGAGGACTGGCATCTAAAAATAAAATATTTAAAGCCAATTTATTTTATAAAATATAGATTTTTGTAATATATGTGAAAAATAGTGCTGAACACTATAGAAATTTTCATACCCGGGTACCTTTTTTTGTTACCCGGGCACCTGAGGACAATACAGTTTTTCAACTGTAACTTAACTGTACAGCTTATCAGGAAAAAAAAAATGAGATTCAGATATGAACATTTATTTAAAAATAAATGCTGTTAATAAGATGCTTTTTAAATTTTATATGAATCATTTTCTTATTATAAATTTATCAAATAATCAAAAAAATGCACATCAAACAAGAATAATTACCTCTCTCAAGAGTGGACATAAATTCCTTATTATGGCGAAGTTCTTGCATGAATTCTTCATTCTGCAAGAAAAGAGCTATACGTTCATCTTCTAAATATTGAGCTAACTCAGGATCATCAGCTCCACTTGTACTTCGCCGCTGACGTTCATTTTCTTCCATTCGTTGTTGAAGCATTGCTGAACTGAGAACTGTAACACTCTGTTTTAAGACAAGTTTTAATATTTTCAATATAAAATACTATGCTGGAGAGCATATTCTTTTTTTAAATTATAAAGGAATAAACAACTTTTTTCTAAATTTAAATTAACATATATTTTTTCTAGATTATTCATGCAGATATGTCAAAAAAGTAGAGTTAGTCTTCTTGTTCTAGAAACACAAAGTTATGCAGAAAATAATGATACAATGTATTGTTTTCTTCTTTTGATTCTACAAGTTACATTTATCAAGTTTATTATTTTATAAATATCTAAATCCATTAATCCATAACAGTATAATAATGATATATTATTACTAGTGTTACCCACGACTTTGCCCGCATGGATTTTGCAAGCAAATCCCATTTATATTCATTATTTCAACAACCATAGTAATTGTTATATAACACCTACCACTGAGAATGATGAGAATTGCTGAGAATCAAACAAACTGTTTTCAATTTGATCAATTTTCTGGAACGTTTACAATCGTTCTGTAATCGAACGAATATGCAATAACAAATTCGAATTTAAAACAGTTTGAACATTTGATTGAAAAATTGAAATATATAAAAATATTTATAACAATGTCTGAAATGTTATCAATTTACATCTAAGTACTCGACGAAAACTAAATGTAGTTACAAACAAAAACTTGCATCTAAAATAGTACAGTAGAAGCCGTTCTTCAGGTTAAGACTTAATCCTCTCCCTTTCCCCTCGCGGGAGAATTTCGAAAAATCCCTTGTTAGTTTTTATGACGTACTCTAGCTGTGTATCAAATTTCACCTCTTTAGGTTCAGTGGTTTGCTCTGGATGATGATGAATCAATCACTCACTCAGTCAGGACAAGTAATTTTATATATTAAATTATACTGTTATGGATTTACATACCTATTCAACATTGTAAATGATGACAGCTTACACCAACAAGTCCTAAAGATGGCACATTTATTATGCTACAATTCGTTTTTTCAGTTCAACGGTACAATTTACACACAGGAAAGAGCAGTGCCGATGGGAAGCCCCATCGCGGGACTTATGTGAAATGGTGATAAGACAACTAGAGTACAAGATCCTCCCCTCACCACCTCTCCAACATCCCTTTATATAGGAGATACATAGATGACAATCATTCCCTGAAGGACAACACCAGATGTCTCAGCCTTTGTCAACTCCGTTAACAACAACCTGTATGGCTTGAAATTAACGGAAAACTGATCAAGCACACCCTACGAAGGCCCACTTCCTTAACATTAACATTAGAATTGAAGGGTCGGCCATCCACACCGAGATGTACCGTAAACTGGGATCAGAGTCCATCTACATACCTGAGGGGGTCTTGTGACCTACATCTGTACAAAACTGCAGCGTATAATGCCTTAATTAGAAGGGCATTCACTCATTTGTCCACTCAACAAACTCTCCATGCCAAACAGAGACGTACACATCATATAGCCACTGACCACGAGTACCCCAAGCTCACCCATAAATTGATTGACATATTCCACTGCTCCCAATGCACAGTCCAAGTTGACTCCTGTGTCGAAAACTGACCTGAAGATAAAGAAAGGATCCCAGTCACTTACACCCCATATCTCAGATCACTATATACTGAGATAGCCAAGAAGCACAGCATTCGCATTGCATATAGGAGATATCCAACCATATTTGACATCCTACATAATGGAAAGGATGTTTCCAACCAGGACAGACTCCCTGGAGTGTACAGCATCCCACTTAGGGATCACAGATGTGATAGAGACCTCATCTATTCGGTTGTTCAGAAAGTTTGTAGCAATTTTTGATAGCTGACAGTTGACACACTGATTAACATGAAAATGATTAGAATTGTACAAACCAATGAATATTACAATAAATGACCTTGAGACGTGTTCATTACAAAAAATTGTTAAGGTTATTCAAATATCATTTAATTTGCCTTACTGTGAAAATTGATGCGAACAACATGAATTTTTGACACTTGTTTCCTTTTTTCTTTTTATTGCAAAAGCAAAAATGCTGTACAAACAGCAAAAGAAATATGTTATGTTTATGGTAGGAGTGCTGTAGCAGCATCAACTGTTCAAAAGTGGTTTGCTAAATTTAAAGCAGGTAAATTCAATCTTGAAGATGCTCCCTGCTCAGGAAGACCTTCAGTAATTGAAGAGGACCAGATCAAAGCATTATTGGATGAAAACCCTCATTACACAACTCGAGAGATTACAGACATAGTGAAGTCATCAAACAGTACTGTATTTCAACATCTAAAGAAGCTCGGGTATGTGAATCGTTACAACATTTGGATACCTCACAACTTATCGGAAAAGAACTTACTGGGTCACATCTCCATTTGTGATTCTCGTAAAAATGAAATGAAAATGATCCTTTTCTGAAGTGTTTAGTGATAAGTGATGAAAAGTGGATCGTTTATAACATCATCAGCCAAAAATAATCATGGGGTAAGAAAAATGAACCACCATTAAAAACTCCAAAGAAAGTCATGTTCACCATCTGGTGGGATTGGAAAGGAATCCTGTACTACGAGTTGCTTCTACAGAATCAAACAATTGATTCTGATAAGTATCCCAATTGGATAAACTGAACATGGCAATTAAAGAAAAACGTTCAGAACTGGCCAATAGAAAAGGCATTGTTTTTCACCAAGATAATGCCAGACCGCACACGTCTTTATGAACACACCAAAAATGATTGGAACTAGACTGGGATGTTTTACTATACCCCCTCAAACTCATCTAACCTTGCCCCATCAGACTACCATTTGTTCCATTCTCTGCAGAATTCTTTTCATAATAAAAACTTTGATACTTTGGAGGCTTGCAAAAACCATGTGGATCAGTTTTTCACGGGAAAAACTGGAAAGTTCTACAAAGAGGGTATCATGAAGCTTCCCCATAGTATATTTTTAGTTTATAACAGTTTTTTTCATTTTTTTTTAAAAATCACTATGAACTTTCCAAACAAATCAATACATCAGCTCCACTAAGTGCTCCTTAGGGGTTAGAATGAAAGAGCACCTTGCTGACATACAGCATGCGAGGATGACCACTGCTCTCGCCATTTATGCCAGTGATCCAGACATAGAGCCAACTTTTAACCAGACGAGGATCATCCTCACCTCACCTCACTCAGAACATCTAAGGTGATTGAAGTGCATTTGTATCTACAGATCTAGCCTCACTGACATGTATCAACCACAAGGAGAAATTGACTCTGTCCATAGCGTGGCAAGTGCTATTGGACAATGACCTGTAAATCTTGAAAGATGCTACTAGTGGTTCACATGCCCAATAGCACGACTTCAAGAAACATGTATTCGAATGATCTTTCAAATTGTCATGTTCTTATTTAATTGCATTCCATCGGAAATTTGCTATTTCACCTGAAGAAGATCCGTTTCTGGTTCGAAAACGTTTGTGAAATACTGTTTTTTTTCGTTCTTTTCGTTTTTTATTTGAGTTTCACACCAGTAACAGGCTTTGGTACATAAATAATATATTATATTTTGAGACAACATTAGGTATTGATAATAGACACTGGATTTTTCCACATTCAGTTGATTTTCTTATGTACTTTAAAATGTGAAAATGGGGTCAGTTCTGATATACTTACTGTCTAACCAAGGATGGCTGTTATTTATCTAGAGAATTGGTAAGATCTTCAGAGTCAGTCCTGACAGTAGCTAGAATTTGTTATTCACGTCCTAGCTCATGATTTACTTAATTTCTTCCAACTGGCTGAAGATATAACAATAACTTGACTGGAATTTTAGGAGGGTTTGTCTTTATACATTAAATGACATGGTTTACACGATATACATGAGCCAACAATGGAGTTAGGCATTAAATCAAATGACAAATACAATTCGTTAGGAATATATCTATCTGTTTATTAAAACATACCTATAACTATTGTCTATATATAAAGGAGTACATTAATAACAAAATGATTAGTGTCAATATACAGTAATACACTGAACTTATGCGATAGGTGGGACTGAGCGATGACTGCGTAAGTCGAATTTGCGTAAGTCGGGGTATAATTTCACAATTTGTGTAAAATCCATGTGGGATGTATGTAAGCTAATAAATGTTCTCGTTAATCTTATCTTGTCTTTTGATTCGTTCATGGTTACAAGAAATCACCACATAGAGTCTCTCGAGTCTCCGTAGATATAACAAACACAGAAATAAATAACACAAAATAAATTGTAGCTATGTGTTGATTCTGCATGACACGTCCAAACATGTAAGCTGAACAATAGTGTGGGGGGAATGAGTAATCAAGAGTTGCATTGGGCTCAAACAAAAGACGAATCGACGAGATTTGAAAATCGCGTAACTCCGGGTTCACGTAAGTCGGGGTAGCGTAAGTCGAGGTATTACTGTAAATACAAATAAATGGATTTCAAATCTAAGCCACTAAACTAAGCTGGAGAGAGAGTTTACATAACAATAATATCATATTACCTGACATTAAAATATGTCTGAGGTGGCGAGTTGCTAGTCTTTGGGAACACAGACATCAGAGAACTAAGAGAGAAATTACAGCTTTAAGCATTCGGCAATGGCACAAAAATGAGGGCAGTGACTAAAGCCTTGATCACTGAGTAAGAGTGCCAAAACAAGAGCAAGTTGGAAGATGACCTCTCACCTTTTATACTGTATTTTGTACAATAGAATTATTGAAAAATCATGCTATGCTTCCAATGCGTGACAGAAGTCGAGCAGTCTTGCAGTTAGATGAGTGAGACATTGCACCAAAACTATTACTTTTAGAGAAACTAAACAGTTTTTCTCTTTGAGTCAAAAGGAAGTGCTTTCCTTAACTTAGATACATAATTTTTCTATTAAAATAATTTTAAAATATTATTCCAACAAATTCACTAAAATATCTTCCCCAACTCCACATTCTCACAAAAGTCTTTAAATTAATTACTCTAACTGTACATTACATAAGAAAATAAAGTGGATGTGGAAA